GGGGGCAAGTTGCTGACTCAATTTGCTAAAAAAAACTGTAAACCACTTAGAGAGGGCTGAAAGCCCTATGAAGCGGTATATAAGTCTAATAAATAAATAAATAAATAAATAAGTCTAATAATTAATTAATTAATTAATTAATTAATTTAGCAGTCCATTAAACAATACACCTAAATTAAATGTTGTTGTTTTTTTTTGCTCCTGGTGGAAAGCAGGCAGCAGGGATGTGGCTGCCTGGGGGGTGGGGTGGGGTGAGGGACTTCCTTTTGTGTGTGTATGTGTCTCCCTCTCTCCCTCCCTCTCTCTGTGTCTCTCTGTAGGCTGGGGGCCCATTTTTGGCCTCCTGACACCTCCGTGCACCCTGTTTTTGGCCTCCTCGGCCTCCAGAAGGCGGGTGGGGGGATGGTGGGTAGGTGGGGCAATGTGGGTGTGGCAGCCTCGTGGTCCTGCACGGGTCGGATTAATGGCTTCGGTGGGCTGTATTCGGCCCATGGGCTGTAGTTTGAGGACCCCGGTGTTATGAGGGCTCTTGGGTTTTTAAAAGGCAATTAAAGTGGGCCTTAGAAGCAGAGACATTGTGAATTATTCCCTCTAATAATTTGGTGGTTGATTGAAACTGAGTTATTTCATTGATCTCAATTAAATTGTGCTTTGTACTATCGCAGGGGTGTCAAACTTGCTTCGTCACGGCGTCACGTGATATATCACAATTCCCTCCTCTTCGCTAAACTGGGCATGGGCGTGGCCAACTTGTGACGCATTGGGGCCGCGAGTTTGACAGCCCTGTACTATAGTATTCTGTTGTCATTGATATTTGCATATATGTTAACCCTATTTATAAAAGTAGGGTTTGTGAAATACTCAGTGTCGGTACGGATTGGAGCAATGTATAACCCTAGCAAATAGATAAATTGATGTTCAGCCCTCAACATTATTTCTTACTGCTAAACTCTCCCAGTCTCTTTTTGCTGACAATTTCCCAGCCTCCAATCATTTTCATTGTCCTTTTTTGCATCTCTCTCATTTGGTCAAAATGTTCCATAATAACTTTGGTTGTAAAAATATTATAGTTTAACCACCGCTGCCACCAGTGATTGTCCTTTTTCCTTTCTTTCTTTCTTTTAAAGGAATTGTTTAAATCATCAAGATGAGAAAATCATTGATTATTGCTCTATGGTTCTTTTCACGTGCCTTAATCCGGAGCGAATCAAACAACTCCAGGAACAAAACAACTTGAACATTGCCCTCTGTGTTCTTCGAGCTTCTAGAAGATGCCCAGAATTGGAATGGATGTATGTATTCTGTTCAGCTTTTTCAAAACAGTAACAAGGGATCTTGTTTAGCTTTTGATAACCTGTTCTGACCGAGACTTCCCAAGAGCATGAAGGAATTCCTTCNTATGAGACAATTTGTGTGGCTTAGAAATAAATTGCAAAAAAAGGGAGAAACAACACTCTTTCAGCCTTATTCTCAGTCCCATTCTGTTATGCATATGCAGACAAACATCTCCATTAGGAATATCATGTATGTTAATGATTACAGAGAAAGCTTTAGAAAGTGGATTTTTTTTTCCTTATCTGAAATGCAAATTCTTTTTGGCAGTAAGAAAGTAAAATAATTTAATAGATTTGCAAATGAGAAATACTGTAGAAATGCAACACGATAATTTTACTGCTAGCGTTGCAGTAAGCATAAAACACAGAAAATTCCAAGAGTTCTTTTTTTTTACATCTGTTTGTCTTAGAAAATCTTCAGCCCAGAGATTTACATTCATTTTTTTTTCTTTTATTCATAATGTAGAGTGTAAATGATCTTCACAAAGTGAGCCAATTTCATAACCTGGCAACCAATATCCGCTTTTATAGACTATTTCTATGTGGCTAATGTTTTGGGGCATCTGGTGTAGAATATGAAAATGATATTTTAAGGATCTTGGTTTGTTTTCTTTCATTTTCTCTATAGGAAAGTTTCCGAGATTTCTTGGATTCCACAGTAAGTATATTCTTCATTGAAAGTACAGTAAAAATGGAACGAGTCCTTATTTTGTAGCTCCCAGTGATGGATTTTGCTTAGAGGTTTCTAGAAATGTAGCCATTTTTATTCTTTGCAGCCAAAAAAAAAGGAAGTTGTGGCATCGTAAATACCAATCAACACATTGTTGCATATATTTTCCTATGGCATAATAATTCAATGGAAATAGTGTTATTATAGTATAAATCGATATTAGCTGATACAAGTCAGGATATTGAACAAACTAATAAGAGAAACTGTGGCATTGACAGTCCAGGAATTTTAGCAGAAAGCATCAGGAGTTATGCAGTTTTGAAAGCAAAGAGCTAACTACTAGGGAAAACAGAATCTGAGGGCAGGGGTAGGATTTAGCTGGTTCGGACAGGTTCAGGTGAACTGGATGATAATTTTACATTTGGTTCGCCAAACNCAATTACCGACCTTTATAAGGCTTGGAGAGTGGCCAGACTGATATCTTTCAGATGGCGCAATATTTGGCAAGAATGCAGGAATGAACTAATTGTCTCCTACAAACATCCCTCCCCTTTTGTTCCTCTTTTATTCCCCATGGGAGAGACCATCCACCTGTAGACTTCTCAAGTCAATCCCTGTTCCTTAGCTGTTCCCTGTTTGGCAACTTTGTGCATGTGCACACTGGGAGCAGGCTCCAGCTGTTCGTCTGCCTCACTGATGTCTGACTCCAAAGGCAGCTGATAACTATCAGATGGCTCTGGCCCCATCTCTGCCTCCAATGCAGAGCACTCATCAGAGCCTTCCCCAGACTCCAGGATTGGCCCATGTTTCTCACCAACCTCCTCACTGTCTGAATCTGCTTTGCTGGCTGCTGGCGGGCCACAACACAAGCTACCCACAAGAGTGCAAGCAACAAGCAAGGCAAAGCTGTTCTTCCTTTCCCTTCATACCATACTTTCCATCAGTGCTCGATTTGGATTGCTATGTTGAAACACCAACACAAAGATACAAGTAGAGTTCCACTTTTACTTCCTGCCCCTAATGATCTATGGAGCAGGATTGCATCACAGTTTTTCTGGGCTTGTTCCTGGGAGGGTTTGGGAAAGGAGAAGCTCCCAAGCAGTGGACAGAACTTCCCAAGTCTTCTTTCTCCAAATGTCACACATGTGGGATACGGAGGAGCGAAGCAGTGGAAATCAAGTTGTACCACACAGATCTACCTCTCAAAAGACTGCTAAGTTATTGAACATAAGGATAAGGATGTTAGATCGGGCAAGTTTTTTAAAAAGACATATCTGATTCAACCAGACCAGCTACCTAGTCTTACCTGCCCAAGAAAAATGGTCAGTGATAGAAAGGGAAAGGCATTTTTGTAGCAATCTAAAGAGGCCAATAGAAGCGGGCCAAATCTCAGCCTTTGATCACATCATCAACCCCATCATCAGTGAAGCACATGGAAACTAGGTCAGGAGAAGAGGGAAAGCACTATTTTAAAACTGGAGCAGCTAAAGAAATTTTGAGCTGCTTTTAGTATGGGCTACAAATGAAACAAAGAAAGAATCATGATGCCATGTCATATAAAAGAAGTTGGTGGGAGTTCGTATCATAGCTAGAGGGAGTATGGATAACTTGTGGAACAAAGGAAAAAGTAAGTTGTTTAACAGGAAAAAGTAAGTTATTGATCTTACCCTAAATTGTTAGCTAAACTGAATATTCTGCTATTATTTTAAGTTAGATATATTAAGATTATTATTAATAATAATAATGTTCTTTCCCCCATTTTCAAAAAAAAGAGAAAAATACACTCCCTCTCCCTTCTATTAAATAGAGGTCAGATTCTCAAGGTTGAGTCTGAAGTATTATTCACTATTAGACAAAAGCTGCTGTATAGATGAAAAGATAAAGGGAGATAAAAAAGATAAATTTGCATTAGTTGGATACTTTAAAAAATGATGGCATGTAATTGTGCATCGTATATATTTCTATATTTGACTGTGTCAAAAAAACAACTTGTGGAATATCTTAACTTCATATTATTGTTTGCAGCATTATCCATAACTTTTCTGTTTTATATTTATTACCACCAAATTGTTTCAATAGCTATCTCATATTCATACCCAAATTGTTGCACTAGCTATCTCACACCCACAGATCTGAAGAAGAGATGTACTATCAAATATAAATTACAAACTGCATTTTGGTTGATTATTTTGGTGGGTGTGGGTGATGAAAGCAACTATGAAATTATCTCACTGGATACTTGTATAGACTCAAATAATTCTTTTTTTTCCAGCTTGCCTTACTGAAAAACTTAGGTTACATTTATACCACAATCAAGAAATCAAGTGAAAAGCTGTAATTATCAGATTCAACCTTCTGTACTATTTCAAGATATTATAAGAATCGTATCTCTTTATTATACAACTAAGGAGTTGTCACCACATATCCACAAGAAGCCTATTGTGCATAGCACAGAAATATATTAAATAGATCCTCAATTTAGTTTAACAATTTTCTAGATGGTTCTGTATCGAAGAAAGATGGCAAGTTTGCAAGTTAGCCTCATCCTCCCATTCTACCAGATATTTAACAACTGGAGATGAATTCTGTAGAACTCAGTTCTTCCAGATGCCTTTGCAATATACCAATAATTTGAAGTACCCGATGTGCATTCAAACATCTTGCAATTAAAACATCACACATGGAATGCCTGTACTGCAGGAAAAGTGCAGAAGTGGGTAAAGAAATGTAAGAAAGGTGGCAACAACAAGAAGCAGTTAAAATTATATTTTTCTTTTACCAATGGGATATTCAGACATCTGAAGAGATGCTCTCAGTCAGAGGAAAATATGGAAGATAGACTCAAGATTTAGAAATATCTTGACAGGGGTGAGCATTGGGCTCTATCCAACAAGGTGCAGTGTAGTGGTGACAAATGTAAGCTCCTGCATTTAGGCAGGAAAAATCAAATGTGTAGGTATAGGATAGACTCGTGATGATGAATCTATGGCACATGTGCCACAGGTGGCACGTGGAGTCCTCTGTGCAGGCACGTGAGCCGTTGCCCAGTGCAGCTCCACAGTACATAAGTGCGTGCCTCCTGCTGGTCAGATGATTTTCTGCCCACCCGTGACTTGTGCGCACATGCGTGGGGGGCGGATGTGGGGTGGGGTGAAAAACAGGACTTCTGGAAGTTCAGAAATGGGTGTGTTTCCAGTCTCTAGAGGGCCTCCAGAGCCTGGGGGAGCTGTTTTTGCCCTCCCAGAAGCTCAAGAAAAGCTTCCAGAGCCTGGGGAGGGTGAAAACTCCCATGCAGAGGAGTCACACATGCATGCACAGAGGGGGTGGTCACGGACCCATGTGTGTGGGGGGGTTCGCAGGCGCAGGCAGGCGGGGCACATTGCATTGTGAGTGTGGGGCATGGGCGTGCTATTGCACGCGCACACAATTTCGGCATGCGAGGACAAAAACGTTTGCCATCACTGGAATAGGCAGACCCTAGCTCAACAGAAGCCCTGGTAGACCACCACTGAAGTATGAATCAGCAGTGTGCTGTAGCTGCCAAAAAAGCCAGTACAGTCCTAGATTGCATTAACATTGATAGATTGTTCATGCAATAGATTGTTCATGCCTAGATTGAGAGCATAGCATCAAGATCACAGGAAGTGATCGTACCCTTCTACAGTGTACTAGGGAGCCTACCCTTGGAATACTGTGTCCAGTTCTGGTCACCACAATAGAAAAAAAGATGCTGGGGCTCCAGAAAGAGTGCAGAGAAGAGCAATAAAGGTGATAAGATGATAACTTGTACAACGAAGAGAACTGGGTGTGTTTAGCTTAATTAAGACAAGACTTAGGGATGACATGATAGCCGTCTTCCAAAACCTGAAGGGCTATCACAGAGAATAGGGGGGTGATTTATTTTCCATAACATCTGAGGGCAAGCTAAGAAGCAATGGGTGGAAGCTTGTCAGAAGGACTTCCAACTAAAAACTAAAGATGAATTTCCTGACAGTTTGAACAATCAATTGAATAGCTTGTCTTCTGGAGTTGCAGATACGCTGGAGGCTTTCAAGAACAGATTGCACAACCATTTGTCCAGGATGGTATAAGGATGCTAACCCTAATTCTTGATCAGGGGATTGGACTGGAAGATTTCTAAGGTTCCTTCCAGCCCTGTGATTCTATGATTCTTTATTGGGCCATATAATCAAAAGGCTGAACTGGTCTGAAGTACTGGTTATTTTTCTAAGCTTTTGTAATGCTTGCATAGATTTTATATCATTATCACCATGGTCTAGTAAGAAAG